CCCCCCCCCCCCCCCCCCCCCCCCCCCCCCCCCCCCCCCCCCCCCCCCCCCCCCCCCCCCCCCCCCCCCCCCCCCCCCCCCCCCCCCCCCCCCCCCCCCCCCCCCCCCCCCCCCCCCCCCCCCCCCCCCCCCACCCCCCCCCCCCCCCCCCCCCCCCCCCCCCCCCCCCCCCCCCCCCCCCCCCCCCCCCCCCCCCCCCCCCCCCCCCCCCCCCCCCCCCCCCCCCCCCCCCCCCCCCCCCCCCCCCCCCCCCCCCCCCCCCCCCCCCCCCCCCCCCCCCCCCCCCCCCCCCACCCCCCCCCCCCCCCCCCCCCACCCCCCCCCCCCCCCCCACCCCCCCCCCCCACCCCCCCCACACCCCCCCCACCCCCCCCCCACCCCCCCCCCCCACCCCCCCCACCCCCCCCCCCCCCCCCCCCCCCCCCCCCCCCCCCACCCCCACCCCCCCCCCCCCCCCCCCCCCCCCACCACCCACCCCCCACCCCCCCACCCCCCCCACCCCCCCCCCCCCCCCCCCCCCCACCCCCCCCCCACCCCCCCACCCCCCCCCCCCACCCACCCCCCCCCACACCCCCCCCCCCACCCCCCCCCACCCCACCCCCCCACCACCCCCACCCCCCCCCCCCCCCCCCCCCCACCCCCCCCCCCCACCCCCACCCCCCCCCCACCCCCCCCCACCCCCACCACCCCCACCCCCACCCCCCCCCCCCCCCCCCCCCACCCCCCCCCCCCCCCCCCCACCCACCCCCACCCCCCCCCCCCCCCCCCACCCCCACCACCCCCCCCCCCCACACGCCCCCCCCCACACGCCCCCCCCCACACGCCCCCCCCCCACACGCCCCCCCCCACACCGACCAATTGGCAGCCGAGTTCGGCGCGCAAGAAGCGTCCTAACGACGTCATCACGTACAGGGTGACGTCATGACGCACGCTGCTTAAAAACAATTCTGAAGCAGAAAATGAGTGCTGGATGGATACAGTCACATTTTCAAATGTGACTTGTTAATTTCATCCTCAGCAATGTATTGAGAGTTAAATTTTATACTCTGTGGGTCTTTCGGTAAAGTAACCTGAAGACGATTGCTTGTGTTGCGATCGAAACGTCGTGGGTTTTTTTAATTACTTTTCTATCTACGTGACTTTACCGCAAGACCCAAACAGTATGAATTCCTGCAGTCACGAAAGCTGAAAGTCAAGATTTAGTTCAATTTTAATGTACAATTTTTTATTGAGTGACCGTGTTGTTGGTGTGGTCTTGGACTGTTTTCTGTTGTTTTACTGACTTTTCCAAGCTTTGGGATTGATGATGCAATTTTAACTTGTATACTTTATTACACTTTATTGATTGACGGTGGTGTGACGTTATCTTCCTGGCCTGGTATCCAGGAGAGGTCGTGGGTTCAATCGCGACCCTGACGCCTGCTGCTGTATATTTGGAGTTTGCGGTGTCTCTCTCCACGTGGTCGCGTGGATTTTTCACCGGGTCCTCCGATGTTTCCCTCCACATTCAGAAACATGCATTGAGATTAAGTTGCTGCTATAAATGTCCAAAGTTTAAGCCACTTTGTCGACTCAACTGTCCTACCTCAAAGGGTCCTCCTCTACCGGAGCAGATAGTATTCCCGTCTTTGCTCTACTAACTGTTGGTCACCTAATATACAAACCTATAGCCCATATTTTCAACCTGTCCATCAAAGAAGCATCAGTTCCTCTAGAATGGAAACATTCCTATGTTCGTCCACTTCACAAAGGGGGCCCTAAAGATGATCCAAATAACTACCGACCTATCTCAATTTTGTCCCCGTTGATGAAAATCTTTGAAAAATTATTGACCTACCAAATTAGCAGTTTCCTGTCCGCCAACAATCTATTACATCTAAAACAATCTGGGTTCCGAAAAAAATACAGCACCACATCTGCTGCATTAGACTCTCTGAATCACATTTACAGTAGCCTTGATAATAAGCAGTACTGCGCCTGTCTTTTTCTTGACTTGTCCAAAGCTTTTGATACAGTAGACCACAACATCCTGCTTAGTAAAATAAGTTGCCTCGGTTTTTCCGAAAACACAGTAAAATGGTTAAAAAATTACCTCTTTTCTCGCACCCAAACTGTATTCACAGATGGTTGGAGGTCAAACAGTGTTAAGATAACAAAAGGGGTTCCACAGGGTTCCATTCTCGGCCCCCTCTTGTTTTCTCTTTATGTAAATGACTTGGGCACTGAACTGGATTATTCCAGGGTAAATCTTTTTGCAGATGACACGGTACTAATTACTGCTGGCCGCTCTCCGGATGACGTGATTGCTAAGCTCCAGAGTGATTTCAACAAACTACAACATCAGCTAGTTGCTCTTAAACTAGTCCTAAATCCTGCCAAAACCAAGGTGCTATGCTTCTCACCAGGACTAAAGCGGGAAGTTATTTTTCCCCAATTACATACCTTAAATAATGATCAAATAGAGCAAGTCAAGATCTATAAGTATCTTGGGGTCATCCTGGATTCAAAACTGAATTTTGAAGATCACATTGATTATATTGGGAAAAAGACAAAAATTAAAATTGGTTTTTCTATATCGACACAAGCACTGCTTCCCTCCTATGTTCCGTTTGGAATTGATTAAAGCTACCGTACTGCCTCTACTTGATTACTGTGACATTGTGTATAAATCAGCCCCAAGTACTGTACTGAAGAAGCTTGACTCAATGTATCACTCGGCCTTAAGATTTGCATTGAACTGCCCATATAGGACTCACCACTGTGATCTCTACATTGGGTAAAAATTAACATCTCTGAATGTTCGACGGCTTGTGCACCAGATCTTATTTATTCATGATGTACTTGCAAAAAAATCTGCAGATTACCTGCTGGATCTCGTCTCTGTTTCAAAGAACAAATTTGACCTAAGGTCTACACTCATTTACCAGCTTAATATTCCCTATTGCCGTACATATACTGGAGGAAGGGCCTTTGCTATTGATGCCCCCAGGGTCTGGAATGCTGTTGCAAATAAATTGAAACTTGAGTCACTACCTATGAGATCTTCACTCAAAACTGCTTTAGAGGAGTTGTACACCCCTAGCTGCCAGTGCTATTCAGTGACCTAAAATAAAATGTTTCGCTCCGGATGATCGCTACAAAGTATGACCTGTGTTTTGATTTAGTGTGCTGATCTTAAAGGTGCATTGAAAAATTACAATACTCAGATTGATGCTCCTGCTGTTGTGGAGTGACTCATGCAGCCAGCTATGGCTGCAGGGTTTTGGTAGTACATGTTGTTTATGCCATTTATTGTGAAAATTCCGTCAGTTCCTATGATTGCTTTTTCATTGCCTTCATGGCTTTATTTTAGTGATTTCGAAAAGTGTATTGGTTTAGCCATGTTTGTGTTGTTGTAGTACAGAGTTAGACTGATGGCCTTAATCTAAGTTGTCTTGTGGTTGTTGTTGTTGTTTGACTTGCATCCCACTGGGATTTTTGCACACAGCGTTGGTGTACGGTGTTTTTTCTGCAATATTTTTGCTGTCTTTTCTTGGATTTTCTGTTTGCACTTAGTCACATATTCACTTTAAGATGTTTTTTTGTTCATGTTTTTGTTTTTTGTTTGTTGCGGTTGCACCCGATTCAAGAGCTGAATGGCTCACAGGGCTATACCTAATAAATGAACTTGAACTTGAAACTTGAAATGGCCTGCACACAGGCATGTCCGCCAGTAGGGGGCGGCGATTGCTTGGTATATTCCAAAGTGAGTACCCACTGGGCCCATTTGATGCCTTCTGATCGGTGGCGTAGTTAAATACATTCTCAGCTCAAGGGTTGTGGCAATCAGAATATAAATTTCTACCGGAGGAATCCGATGAGCTATAAAGCCTTTTTTCACCAGGTGAAAACAGTGCAACACATAACAGTCGTGCAAAGTAGAAGGTAAACAAATCACCCAAACACATACAAATAAAACTAAACCATGACATTCTACCAGGTAAACCCACTGAGGGTAATAAGTTATTTTTCAGAGCAACCTGGCTACAAATGATCGCTCAACAAAGTGGCTTATCATTTGGACATTTATAGCAGCAGAACAATATAATCTCAAAGCATGTTTCTAAATGTGGTGGGAAAAAGTGGAGGACTCAGAGAAAAAAATATCCACGACCACGGGAAGAACATGCAAACTCCAAATATACAAGCATTAAGGTCAGGATCGCACCCCCGACCTCCTGCACGATCACGAGACTATATATTGCAGCTCCTCCTGCCTTTTCACATCATTTACCTTCACGGTCTCGAACATTTAACGCTGTAGCGGTACTTCGTCTTCACAAAATAAGTTTTTCCATTTTACACTTTTGAAAACATATCTCGTGGTGGTTTGGCCACGGGAGGGGAGGTGGGGCAAGGCATCCCCTGTCCCCGCACTAGTTCTGTGGCTGCTTGTGAAAGGTGTCCATTTGGTGTTTGCGGTGTATTGTAATTTCAACATTGACAAATTGGACTTTGACGGCAGCACACGATGGCCTACGCTTTACAAATAAGGCCAGGGGATTGTTAATGTCCACTGTGAAACAGATGGCGCGTAGTATTATCGTGGATATTACACCCGCAAAGCGACGAATGCGCTACCACAAGGGCATGTCACCGCCCCTAACCATTTACGCGACAACATGCGTAAATCAAGAAGCATGCCACCGATATAATTCGGCTTTACCCAATGACGTCATTATATATATTAATCCATAAAATTCAGTCGCTGCAACTTTTGTTACATCCCTACCTGTACGACTTTCCGATTCGACGTCATATCTCTCGCACCGAACACGACGTCACGGCACAAGATGTGCGATTGCGTCATCACGTCCCATGTGTTAGACACGTGGTGTCACGACATAAGACATTGAGTGATGTTCAGTGTATGATACCAAAACTTGACATTTTGTGAACGGTGCTCAAGAACCAGTAATCGTCATGATTACAAATTTGTCAAGAATCATCGCAGAGCATTTATATTCAATAAAAAATACTTTATTACAATGGCATGAGGGTGAGGATTTGGAAGAAGGCAGGGGTGGGGAAAATGCATCTTGCAAAAGACTGAATACAAACCTTTGGTGCCTACACTTACATAAACCTCCATCAATTCTGTCACGATAAAAACCCCATGCAGCGTCAGGAGCGAGTGAACTTGCTTAAGTTAGAAACACTGATTTGTTGTCAAGTGACAAAAACATTCCACTCTTGTCCCCAATGACAACCGCGAAAAGATACCTGCAGTGGTGCATAAATACAGTTTGTCATTTCGTTGAATTGAAGTCGGAGATTGTTCCATGGATTCCCTACGCTTGGTGAGGGTGAGAGTTCTGTTTTCAGGGCCCCAAGGTTCCTGGTCACTTGATTACGGAACGCACATCATGTGACTCAGGCAGGATGCCCGACCGCTGGTCACGTGATCCATCAGCTCATGTCCGTGTGTGAGGGGGGCTCCCCCTCGCGCCACTGCCTGGGTCCCAGCGCCATCAGGGTCACGTGTGGGAGGAGGGCAGGGCCCAGAGTTCGTCTCACCGAGCCCCAGCGCGGGGGGTCTCTTTGTGGCGGGGGGCGGCGGCGCCGGCGGGGGGGGCGGCCGGGGCCACGGGGGACGGAGGGGGGCAGCGCATTGGTGAGTTCCTTCTTCCACAGGTAGTAGAAGCACACGCACTCGCCCACGGAGCGTGTACGCACCTGGGGCAAGCAGATAACAACACACGCAGGTGCACGTCTTGCATCAGTTCAAGCCTCAGCTAAACGCTGACAAAATGGCACGGTGTCATCACTACACCCCCATCATGTCCCACGTTTCTGTTCCTCTGTTCCCTTGTGTTTCTGTATCTCCCGTGTGTCTGTCTCACCTTATTGTCCTGTACGAGGTGGAATTTATTATGACATGTCCACGTGTGTCCCAGTGTCACTGTATACCTGTGCATATCTCTGTCACTGTGTGTCCCCCATGTGACTCTGTATCTTTATGTCTCACCTTACTGGACTGTATGAGGCGGAAATTCTTGCCATACATTCTCATCCCAACCTCAAAATTCCTCTGCTCTACCTTACTCCATCCACACAGAGGAGCTGACATGCGGAGACACGGGGACACACAGGGACAAAATAAGGACATGAGAACAAGGGGATATGAGAACACATGGGGACATGGGAAAAGGGAGATACGGAGAACACAGACATAATGACATGAGGAAAAACGGATAGCTTGGAATGGTGCTGGCTCATCCACCCTATTGACGTCAGCCTTAATAGGTACTCGCACATTGTATCTTGCATCACAGAAAAATATTATATTCTTGGGCAAGCCACTCAATGTACGTATCATTTAGGTCAAGAATCGGTTTTCAGTAAAGCACCAGTACATAATTGCAGCACTTGACTTTATGTGTATGCACATGTGTGTATTTGTACATTATGTGGGCATGTGTCTCTCACAAATATCTTTCTTGACTGCAAACGACATTCTCTTCAGCGCCTCCCGTGAGTCAAAATGTGCACGCATCAGATGCCATAGAGCCTGTGTACACACACAAGACAAAGTTCCCCGTATAGCACAAGTGCTGTGTGTACACACACATACGCACAGGTACACGCAGGTACAAAGGCAGAGGGGGGGGTGAGTAGAGTAGCGAGTAGTGTAGTTATGGTAAGTAGAGTGATGAGTGGAGTGGCAAGCAGAGTGGTGAGGAGTGAGTAGAGTGATTATTAGAGAGGTGAGCGAGTATTGAGCAGCTCTTCACCTCCTTGCCATCCCTCACCCTGTGGGTCTGTTAATGGTGAGTAGACTGGTGAATAGAGTGGCGAGAAAATGAATAAAGGTGAGTGCAGTGGTTAGTGGAGAAGTGAGTGGTGAGTAGAAGGCTAAGTAATTTGTGAGCATCTCCTCTTGAGTTTGAGAGTAGGGAGTAGTGGGGAGTGGTGGTGAATAGTGGCTTGTAGACAGTAGTCGTGGTCAGTTGTGGTGAGTAGAGGGGTAGGTGAGTAGAGGGGTAGGTGAGCGGTGAGCACCTCGTGTTCATGCACTCTGTGAGACTGTGAAACGGGTGCAGTGGTGAGAAGTGCCGAGTAGCAAGGTGAATGGGGACTAGTGGTGAGTAGAGGGGCGAGTAGTGAGCACCTCCTCGTCGTCGCACACTCTGTAGGTATCGTCCCCTCCTCTGCTCTGCGCGTGGAGCAGGAAGGAGGCAACGGTCGTCTCGGGCAGCACTGACGGATCCCACAGCAGAGACTCCCACTGGCGTTCCCCTGCAACCACTACAATCACATTATCAAACGAAACTATGCATTTTATTTTACCAGGTAAGGCCCACTGAGCTGTATAGCTCTTTTGCTGAAGTGACCTGGCCACAAATAATAGCTCAAGAAAGTGGCTTATCACGTGGAAATGTATAGCAGCCGAATACTTTAAACGCATGTTTATAAACGTGGAGGGAAAAACCGGAGGACCTGGAGAAAAATCTACGCGACCATGGGGAGAAGATGCAAACTCCAAATATACACGTGTCAGGGTCGGGATCGAACCCACGACCTATTGTATACCAGGCAAAGTAGTTAACATCTCGCAACCATGACGCCCTACATAATAACCACAACCATGTAACCATAACCAACCACAACACTGCCACATACACCACAACCTCACCAACAGAACGAACAGGTTCTAGAGACTCACTCTGGGAATCCGCAGCAACCATAATCGCAACAAGCAGACTACAACCACAAATACAGCAACTTCCACTGCACAACAACATAACCACACTACAACCACAAATACAGCAACTTCCACTGCACAAAAACATAACCACACTACAACCACAAATACAGCAACTTCCACTGCACAACAACATAACCACACTACAACCACAAATACAGCAACTTCCACTGCACAACGTAACCACACTACAACCATTCAGCCACGACATTAGCACTCACTTCCCCATATAGCAACACTACAACCACACACTTCAACCACACTAACCACAGCCACACAACCATACAGCCACACACACTCTATAACAGGGGTGGGGAACCTTTTTTCTGCCAAGGGCCATTTTGATATTCATAACATCATTCGCCATACAAAATTATCAACTTAAAAATTTGCCCGTTATACTTGGTCAAACATTTAATTAACTCACCCCTAATGTGATGGTTGGAACTGCTTCTCTTTGGTGAGGCGTGTGATGTTAGCTGGTATTGATGATGTTGCTGCTACTCGCAACTGCTTTTCCAGGTTTTCTCCTAGATTTATTTAATTTCGAGTCCCGCCTGCGGTTGCTTTGGACAGGACCAGACCAAATTATTTTGCGGGCCTTATACGGCTCGCGGGCCGGACATTCCCCACCCCTGCTCTATAACCCTAAAACCACACTCACCACCAAATTCTTCCAAATGGTGGTGCGTCCCCATATCTACATCACGTCCCCATATCTCCCTTCTCCTCCCAATGTCTCACTTCCCTTCTACATATTTCTATTCTCCTCCCCATGTCTCTCATCACCTCCACATGTTTCAACGTGCCTACAACCACAAGGTGTCTCTGTTTCTTCATTTCTCCTTGTATATGCGTATCCATGTATCTGTGTCTTCCTTTGCCTCCCCTCCCCGTCTCCCTTCTTTTCTTCATCAATTGCAGTGTCGCTAACGCCTCCCTACATCTCCCCGTGCTTTTCCATAGCTTCCTTTACAACCCCCATGTATTCCTTCTCCCGGTGTTGTCCTATGTCTCCCCGAGTGTCCCCGTGTATCTCTGGATAGGGGATGTGACTCTGTGCTGTGTGTGTCTCTGTGGGTACCGGCTGAGTCTCTGTGTTCTGCTCTCTCAGGCACCACGGCCTGATAATTTGGCCCAATCATGATTCGCTTCCTCTCCGAAGGGCTCTCCTCCCCATCCTTCTCACCTGCGTGGAAAGAGACACGTGAAGGCAAATGGATATGAGAACAAAAAATACACGGAGACATGGGTGGTAAGGGGACAAGGAGATGTAAAGACACACAAGGGGATACAGGGAATGGGACACAGGGACCGATAGAGATATGGAGACATAGAGACCCACAGACACTGAGAAACAGGCGCATAGTGACACGGAGAATTGGGCAAGTGAATACAGACACAGGGGCATGGGGGGATATGGACATGGGGCAAGGGGAGGCAGGGGGTCAGCAATATAGGGGACACTGGAATACAAAGAGGGGCATGGGAACAAGTGAACACAAATGTGAATATCGGTTCTCACCTGTTTCCATGAGCTTCATTACTGTTTTAGCCCGTGTACGATGTTTTGGGCTTCTCAATCCCACGTTCACTCCTGTAAGCAATACACGATTTCCGTCCTGTATGTGTACGGTAGATATGCGTGTATGTACACTTTGTTTTTGTACACAGCAACAACTCCGGCAAGCAGGACCCTGGCTAGCCATTTTTCCGCATTTAGCCAGACCAAAGACCAATGCGGGCCAAATAAAACAAATGTGTTATGTATTTTCAGTACAAGAACAGTGTAAAAAATGTACAATTGCTTATGTAATATACTCTTATATAAGCGCACAACTTTATCTATCTGTGATGAACGCTGTACTTCCCGTCGTTTTCATGCAGGGGGCACTGCAAACCTACGCGCCCCCTGCATGAACGACGGAGGCGCAGGGACAGACGTTCGATTACGTTGGAATCGATTTGCAGACGGCGTCCTTCTCGCACGGCCAGCTCGATGTCGCCTTATCTCGATCCCGCAATCCCAAACAGGCGAAAGTCCACATCGAACCGAACCACCAGCAAGGCCATCTACTTAACGACGAGAGAAAATTCACACGAAATGTCGTTTTCAATTAAGTCTTCCAGATGTAAAATTATATAAGCTTTTAATGAAGAAATAAAATTATCTAATTCAAAAGATAATACAATTCAAAGATGTTTCATTTTAAAACTTAAAAACGGAGCATCGGGTGCTTGCATGAATGTGTCGTTCGTGTGCAATGTTTTTGTGACTTTCCTGGCCGAAGGCCGTAAATGGTTGTGAGAGGCGCCACAGGTGCCCCCGAACAACCCCGAGTGACATGTATAACACAACACATGAGAACACGGACATTTGTGAAAAAGAGCTTTATAGCTCATCGGATTCCTCCAGGATAAATAAGTATTCTGATGTTAAACTGAATTTATATAAATACAGTGATACCTCGGTTCACGAACGCTTCTGTTCACGAACAACTCGGTTCACGAACAGAAAAGTTCATAAAAATATGCTCCGGTTCACGAACTCCGCTTCGGTTCACGAACAGGAGCCGCGGCCATTTTAATGCTATTTCCAGGCTGTCACATGGTCGTGACTTCCTGTAGGAAGATCGTGGAGAGAAGAAGAGACACAGAAAGAAGTACTGCTAGTACTGTGAAGACACTTTCAGTGACTTTTTGCTTTTTTGTGTGCTTTTTAGCACATACAGTACTGTACTGTACAATACTGTACTTACTGTATTGTACAGTTCACCCATTTGAGTGCTTACTGAAGTCATCTCAAGCAAGGTTAGTGTTCTCTCTTTATACATTACTATACTGTACAGTACTAATGTGTATTGTAATTTTTTTCATATTTTTGTGCTTCAAAAACCAAAAAAAAAGGTCAGAACGGATTAACCGGATTTACATTGAACCTTATGGGAAAATGTGCCTCGGTTCACGACCAATTCGGTTCGCGACCAGAGTCAGTTCACGAATTAAGTTCGTGAACCGAGGTATCACTGTACCTAATTGTTGTGAATTAATTGTGCTAAAGGAAACGCGTTCGTGGTTGGGGAGGGTTGATGGGGGAGGGCTGATGGGGGGAGGGGTGATGGAGAGTGGGTGGAGGGGCCATGGGGAGTGGGGGGGATCGGCATAGCTTGGAGCTACATAACTACCGACTCACCTACACAAACTAGTAACACAGCAAACACCCACTACTACTGTCTCTTTTTATTTCGTCTTTAAACTAGCACGCGCATCATACACTACACACACACACTAATATACTGTAACGCGTTACACAGAGTGTCGTTGTCTTATATATATTGTCATTAAAATCTCGTCTAGCCGGACTTTTCAGCAGCCATACAAGCCCCCCCCCACTGTTAGTCCGGCTAGACGGGGTCATACTGTTTGTACAGTATATGTATGGTGTGTGTAGGGGAGCAAATCTTCTGTTGGTTAAACGGGACGAATGATCAGGATGAGACTAAAGGAACGCCAAAGAAATGTTAAATACTCCCAAACACAACTGTCGGCAGTGGCAGAACACGAGTACAAACAACGGTACTCAATTGATTTTGATCATTTGAGAATAGGGTTTCCCCTTTTTTCTGGCACAAAACAGCTGTGTTGAGATGTTAAAACACCAAACTGAAACCTTTTACAAGGAATCATGTCTGCATTAACCACAATACTGGTGTTAGACCAGAGGACGCCATTTGGCGTCCTTTGATCTAACACCGTTTGGGACTAGGCTCAAGAGAAAGTTGTCTCTGATGTGGACCAATCAGTTTCAAAGACAATGCATATATTATCAGAGTATGTTTTTTGTTTGCATTCTGACCACAAGTATTGTGGTTAATGCATTAATGATTCCTTGTAAGAGGTTTCAGTTTGGTGTTTAACATCTCAACACCTGTTTTGTTGCCAGAAAAAAAGGGAAAACCTATTCTCTGATTTTTTTAAATTTTGAGGTTTTGTGAAAAACTAGTTACTACTAGTCAAGACTAATGAGAGAATCTGTTGAATTTGATAGAAATACAAGTAATTTTAACCATTTTGATAGCTACAGGCTTAGTGCTGCTTGGAAGCGTATTATCAAGTACTACACTGTTTAACTGTATGCCTATACAGGTCACCATGTCGATGGTGATTAACTGCGAAACTGCAAAAACGGAAGAATGTACATACACATATTGTGCATGCAGGATGTACATACATTATGTATGTTGATTAACCAATAATAGATACCCATTGTTATGTATATGAATACATTAACTTCCCACCCCCTCTGACCTTCGCACCTGATCAAATGTATCCCTCAATTTAAGACCGAAACAGAAGGATTTCTCCACAACTCTGGCTATTGCCACAAGTCTGTTAAAGGCAATAAGGGGGATCGTTTCTTTGTATGGTGTGTATGTGTGCACTTGTCTTTATATGTATGGTGTGTGCGTACCAGTATTTGGTCTAGTCACAGTGAGCGGAATACTAACACGACAGGACCAGTCCTCCTGCACACACGCACACAACACACACACACATATATATTATTTTGCCCAACAGTAATACGAATGCAGTTCAGCCAGGAAAGCCTGCGTCTCAAGACTTTTCAAGTAGGGCCCTGTATTAAGACATATGGACAATTACTATTTCGCTTAATGTGGAAGGAAACCAGAGAAATCTGGTAAAACCGACAACCAAAACTTTGCACACTAAGTTCATAATTCATTCCAATATTGTCATCTGCCGGTCACTTCATATGCCTGCACAGATGTGTAATGAGAGAGCGCCATCCAGGGGGTGCCAGAGGGTAACGGGTACAGGCACCATGACGTCATCAGCATTCAATCCTAGGGAGAGAAAAGATCTGGGCCAGAGAAGACGGGCGGGGAGGCTGAGAGAGGTTCAGGAACTATCGGGAAGGTTCCCCGAGGAGGCGAGGCCAGAGGTGGGGCGTAGTTCCGCCGAGTAGGGTATAAGGGGGATCGGGGAAGGACTCGAGGTCGGTGTGGGGAGCCTGGGTTCCGGACCGCGTCGCTGTTCATCTCCTCCTCGCCACGGGCCACGTGGCGGACGCTCCCTCGGAGCTCACCTACGCTTCCAGCGCGCCGTCAGCCAGCGGCGAGGCCGCAAGAGCGGAGTGAGCCTCGCGGGAGCTCGGAGAGGGACGCCTCGTCCACGGGATTGGAAAGAGGGAAATAACGGAGGGGAAAGGAGCGAAGCCGTGCTGTACGACCGTTAATAAAAGCAGCATCGCCGTGGAAGTCTTTTATTATAGATGTACACACACACCTATATATCGATGGATGTAAACTCACACAAACATCTACACCAAACCCATAACGCGAACCTGAACACTGTCCATAATCGAGCCAACCCTGCTCTTACCCACAATACTAACCAATCCTAATAATAAACCTGACCCGAAACCTTCCTTAAAATGATCCCAAGCCCACAAAAGCCTACCCTGCGAGTCGCTGGGCTGCTGTGAGTGGAGACGTGTGACGGAGGAGAAGCTGGAGGTGGATCATCATAATCATAGCGCAAGAACATCTCCTGCACAACACACAACACACGTGTAATGTACATTATAACACATGCCACTTAACTGTCCGTGAGTCAGTCACTGCTCTCAAGTCAGGGGCTAATTCTGACCTGAGGGAACCAGGGACCTGGGTATTGTTTTCATAACATGGATGATGGAACAATTTTCACCACACTAATCTCTTATCATTATCCACAATCAATTCACCGTTGAACGTATGTATGTTGAGCTTCTTTCGCACCGTACATAGCCAAATATGCTAATCGAAGGTGCGGGAGAAGGACAACAAACAAAACACAAAAAGCAGTTTTCAATCCAGATTTAAGATGTGCGTAGCTCCAGTAGCTTCCTAATATCGGAAGGGAGAGTGTTCCAGACGGCCGCAAAAGCACATCCGAAAGCGCACGATGCTCTGACCGTATTTGTTCGATGGCGAAACAAAAGCCGCTGCGAGGATGACCAGAGTTCGCGTGATGGTTTATGTTCCTTGACGAAGGCCAAGACATCCATATCTCTCACGATCATGTGACGCAACCCATCTCACTCTTTCACATAGGATGATTTCAAAACTCCATCTTTGTAGTGAACGTTCTGCCGGGCATGCATTCCCTCCCTTTGTTGCTACGATGTTGTTAGTATTGATGATCGGCCATCATCGAGAGTTTTAGAAGTCGACGAAGTTTCTTTCAATTCCCCTTTTTAGAGTGGAGAGTTGAGAATGCAGTAGATTTATTGAATACAAGTCTTGCTCGTTTTACAGTATTAGCCTGCATGTGCATATGGAATAACAATAGCAGTGTACAACCCCATTGTCTATCCGCTACTGGACGAAACCGCCTCAGTCCCTGTGGGTCATACGTATTTATGACCATACTTTACCATGTTGGACCGTGTGAGTTGGTAATACCCCTGGGGGAGTACCTGCCTGGAGTACAGGAGACCCTTGAATATCGCGTGTTTATACTTTGCGGTTTAGACCTATCGCGGGCAATCTCTCTGTATACCAATTTAGCAATCGTGGTCACGAGTTTTGGCCTTTTGCGGGTATACCGTACCCGGTAGTACTGTATCATTGGCTGATACCGTGAAGAGGGGCGTGCAAGCGTTTCGCGGACAAAGATGCCCCCTATTATGGCAAGTGCTATTCGCGAGCACCGATGAAGGCCGGCACGGCACACGAGGGGGTGGGGTGGCCAGCACCACGCCCGGCCGCCTTTGTCTCCCTCGTGGTGATGTTTACTACACACCGCACCAGGTACTCATTTGAGGCTGAGTCGACCTAGAGGAGGCCCAAGATCGGTTCTGATGATCGTCACCGGTGGTATTGGTGGCCGTGAGCGGGAATCGAACTCAGGTCGCTGGGTTCGTAGCGCAGCGCGCTAACCGGAGCCCTACCGCTCCCCACTCACGGACAAACACGCATACAGCCCTCATCATCATCGGTAAGTACCGTATTTATTCCGTATGTATACTATTTATTGTCTAGGAATGTATTTATTTGTATCCTGTACTTATATGGTTATTTAAATCATTTTGGTTTTAGTTTATTTGGGGCCGTCCATAAATGACGTCACGCGATTTTGGACGATTTTTGACCCCCCCCCCCCTCGTCACACGGCGTTCCAAAAAGTCAGACCCCCCCTCAAATATGACGTCACAAAGCTCTGCCCCCCCCCCCCCAACCATATTTCCATTTTTTAAATAAAACATGGTTCAAATCGCTTTAAACTATTGTCATTGTAGTGCTGTTATAACAATTAGTGTTGTTATAACAATTCTATATTTATTTAAAGTTGCGAATTTTGATGTGACGTCACATTTCTCAACCCCCCCCCCTCGTCACACATCGTCACAAATGTCTGACCCCCCCCCCCCCCAGGTGCGTGACGTCATTTATGGACGGCCCCTTTTGCATCCACTCCAGTACTGATTTCAATCGTGATCTCTATTTTTAGTTGCCGTGCACCTCACCCCATTATTTAGGTAACGGCTTAAGCAATGAATATCGCGGTTTTGGCTTTGGTGGCATTTCCCAAGCAACGAACCCCCGCCACCACCACACACCACCACCACTACACCCACCACCACCACACACCACCACACACCACCACTACACACCACCACCACACCCCACCACCACACACCACCACCACACACGACACACCACCACCACCACTACACACCACCACACACCACCACCACTACACACCACCACCACCACACACCACCACCACACACCACCACTACTACACACCACCACCACCACCACACACCACCACCACCACACACCACCACCACCACACACCACCACACACCACCACCACACACCACCACCACCACACACCACCACCACCACACACCACCACCACGCTGGGCACGCACGTGGAGGTCCGCACAGATGGGGCTCAGCGAGCACCACGACTCCGTGTGCCGCCCTCTCCCGGCACGTGAACGCATCTCTCTCGACGCCCCCGCCCCTTCCCGGTGGTCTCGCATCCCTTAAAGCGGTGCTAGTCGGGGCTAGAGGTGGCAGTGCTCATCTCGAATGGCGGCTACAGAGTCCAAACGGTGGAAATTCCACATTCCCACGACGGAGGCCCGTCCATCTAGTCGTGCCTCCGCAGACTCTCTCAATCCCTCCCCCACCCACCCTCGTTTAAATGACGATGTATTAATTGACGAGCTGCCGAATCTGAGCCGCCTTCCTCACCTCGTCGCTCATCTCCACCACCACGTCCACCTCGTCCACCTCCTCGCCAACGAGCGACACCAAACAACCGCCGCCCTCCCCCCCGCCCCGCCCCCACAATTGACGCTGACGTCACGGAGTGGGCGGAGCGACGGGGGAGCCTCCGCCAATGAAAAGGCGTCTTGCGTTGCCTTGTGTCGTCATCGCCGATGAAGAGCAGGGACACCATGTTGGGTAGGGGAAAAAGTGGGTTTTAAGTCTGGAATCTTCGGTCTCAATGCTCTTATTCGTTGTCTCTCTCTCTTCGGTATGTATTGTGAACAAGGGCCATGATCCGAAACGTCGCCTTATACCCCCCCCCCCCTTTTTAAGGCCGTCCGTTAATTGACGAGCCTCCATGATGGGTGGGGAATTGTAAAGCGTGTTGATGACGTCATAAGGCTGTTTGCATTCCAAGTTATTTTGTGGGTCTTTATATTGATGCCAATTAGTTTATTGAATTGAATGGCAATGATAGGACGAGGTTTTGTAAAGTGGAACTAAAAAAAAACGCAATACAAAAGATATGTAAGAGTCTTCTAAACAATTCGCAGAGACTTCGGTATTTACTCAGAGTAGTTATTGAAGGCGTGCCAGGTTCAATGTCACTGTGCATCATAAAACATGTTGAGTTTCAATCGTAAAGTTCGTAAATCTCGAGTACGTTATGGCAAGGTACAAAGTACGAAAAACGGAATTGGGTACCAATAAGTTTGAGTACGTTATAGCAGAGGAAATAAATCTGGGGGGCAATGGATTCAGCATTCACATCGCACCACGGTCACAGTTCCTATGATCACTGTTTCATTGCTTTTGTAGAGGTGTTACGGAGGGCAAACAGACACACTGGGCGTGGTTATGCCCGTACGCCGAGAGGTGCTTACATCCACGTCCGCACCGTTTAGCCTGGCGGGCTAACACGGCGCTGGGATCCCCCACGGCCCCACCCCTCAGTGGGGGAGTTGCTATATAAGGCGGTGAGCCGGAGGGCTCGGGGTTCAGTGTTCAGCCTTAACCAGAGAAGCAAGAAGACCTGCTAGATAGGCCCTGGGACTCCCCTGGATCGCCGTCCTTCTCAGGACCGACCAGGGCAAGCCAGTGGCGTGGCCCCAAGAGCCCAGAGCCTATGCTCTTGTAAGAGCCGGTCTGGGGACTCGGGGTGCCGTAATCCCAGCTTAACCAGAGCTGGGTTAGCTAGCCTCCCCTAGCCCTGTAGTGGAGGACCTAGGAGTAAGGCGAGCTGTGACATAGAGTGTTGATCTCCCTGTTAGACGGGTGAAGGGGCCGATACCCCTTCGAGTGTTGTACATTCAGCCTGTTATGTACTTTGTGCTTAATAAATAAGTGTGCCTCCAACTACGTCGTCCAAGTCTCCTGGAACCTACTACACTTTTATGGCGTTATTTTGGTGATTTTAGAAAAGTTTTTTGGTTTGGCCATGTTTGTTTGTTGTAGTACAGGAGTTAGACTGATGGCCTTAATCTAAGTTGTCTTGTGCTTGTTGTTGTTTGACTTGCATCCCACTGGGATTTTTGCACACAGTGTTGGTGTACGGTGCTTTTTCTGCAATATTTTGCTGTCTTTTCTTGGATTTTCTGTTTGCATAGTCACTTTAAGATGTTTTCTTGTTCATGTTTTGTTTGTTGCGGTTGCACCCAATTCAAGAGCCGAATGGCTCACAGGGCTATACCTAATCAATGAACTTGATTAACTTTAACTTGAAGGAAGCTCATGAGCCAGCACCACTGATATCCAGGATTCAAATCCAGGTTTCAGCCGCCCGTGATTAAACTAGGTTTTCAAGTGTTGCAAGCTGATGGTCTCAGCTTGGTGATCAGCAATGACTCCACACATACAAAAACATCATATTAAATTTGGTTTTGGAATTTGGGAAAGTAAATCTCTGAGAATTATCTATTTACGTTGATGTACAATACCCCCTCTTTGCAGTGCTTATAAAACAAATAATAAAGCAACACCTTGTGTGGACTGCACGCTGTTTTCTGCCTAACATGCCTATGTCACGAGCACAAATGACAGTGATTACTTCCTTTATTGAAACTCTCAGAGTAATTGCATTGTTTTTGCACAATTATCGCAGACAGGGAGACAAGAAAACAGAGAAATGGGATACAAGGCAGACTGGAGACATGGGGGGGACATGGAGACAGCTGGATATGGAGACACAGGGAAAAGACAAAAAAAACAATAGACACGGTAATGGGGACAGCTGGATATTGAGACAGAACGAGACACAGGGACACAGAGGCACACGGAGATGAGAATACAAAGACATGGATAGACAAAGATACTCAAAGACATGGGAAGACTTAAGACAGGGACATGGAGACACAGGGCCTCCCCCATGAGACATGGGAAGGCACACAGAATCGCAATAAAAACCACACACTGTGTGAGCAAACGTCTCGAATTAAAGCTCCATCAAGGCACAAACACCACTCTTGCAGTTTGTGAGCCCCTATTAAGGCCACGTGCACTCTGCCGCCTTTGTATCACCGCTCCCTCCCATCACCCCACAGGGTGAGAAGTGAGGGGTCATCCAAAGCGGATTGGGGGCATGGGGGAGATGGGGAGGGGCTGTCTCTGTGTGGAGACGATCCGGAGGCACCAGCCCAGCACCTGTGGGGGAGAGACATTTGAGCAAGTGTCTCCATGTGTCTCTGTGTTACCACTGTTTCTGTTGTGCGAGTTTGTGTTTTTCCCTGGCTCCTTATATCTCTGAGTGTCCGCTGTATGTCCCCATTTGTATACATTTGTCCACGTGCCCCCCTGTGTCAATGTTATCAGTTTAACTGCGTGTCCATTGATGCCTCTTTGTGTCTGCATGTTCCCATGTCTCTCCATTTGTCCCTGACAGTCTTTCCATTCCCATATCCCCATGTATCTTCAAGTGTCTCCTGCTCTTTGTGTGCCCTTGTCTCCATATCACCCATGTGTCTCCATGTCCCCATATCTATGTATCCTCCCATCTCCATAAGTTCGAATGTATCCCCATGTCTCTACATTTCTCTCTGTGGTCTTGTGACCCCATGTCCCCATGTCCCCACCGTGCGCGTATCCTGCGGAAGGATGACTCCATCATCCCAAATCCGAGCCGTAGAGTAGAGAGACGATGTTTCATCACCTAGCCTGGCACACGGGGATATGCGAGGGCACACAGGGACAAACGGAGACATAAGGGCACATGCACACAATGAACAAATTGATCAACGGGGATAAAAGGACTTAAAAAGCCACGGAGATGTACAGAGACACGGGGACACAGGGAAACATGGGTTAGAAGGTAAATGGTGAGTGAGTGGTGAGTGAGTGGTGAGTGAGCGGTGAGTGAGCGTTGAGTGAGCGGTGAGTGAGTGGTGAGTGAGTGGTGAGTGAGTGAGTGGTGAGTGAGTGAGTGGTGAGTGAGTGGTGAGTGAGCGGTGGGTTCTCACTTCTTCTGTTCAGACTCCATCCTGGTATTCGCTCCGGGCCACAGGAAGAGGAAACGTGGAGAGAAGGCACGACCACACTGAACATCAACAACATCAGTTTAACATGTCGACTTTCGCGACCAATATCATCCATAATAGGATTTGTCAGTTAGATCGTGTAAATATGTGCGTCGTTAAAACCCGCCACCACCCGACACAGCATATAAGGAACGAAACAGGTGGACTTCTCCACAAATCTGGCTGTCGCCTGATGAAGCAAGTTGTAATTACTGGCCAAACATCGTACTCAGATTGTAAATGTTGTGGCTTTGCTCTACAACACACCGGTGTGCTGTACCAGTGACGAATTGGCCACGTTCTGTTTACGTGACAGGTGGTGGCGGGTTTTAACGACAAATTTATATATTTACGCGATCTAACCCCAAAAACGTATATTATGGATCAACAACATCACCATCATCATCATTACCAGTATCATCACAGTCAAACATAAAATAATTGTCACCATCGGCTGCAGCGATATAATCATCCTCAACATTATCAGCAGCAAAATTAGAAGCAGAAACATAATAATCATCATCCTTCAGCAGTATCCTTAATATCAGCAACAGGATTATCACTGTATTCAGTGTTCCCGTGTCCCCACGTCTCACCATGGCATAGCTGCTTGTTCCGTATCTCCCTCCTATCACCACCGTGATCTTGGGGACCGAGACGCATGCCACAGAGGCCATCATGGCTCCTCTAGAGCGGACAATCTCCTCCTGAGACACAGACATACGGCCACATGGAAACACATGGACACACAGGGGCATAATGACATGGAGACACGGGGACACAGGGAGGACATACAAATGCAGCAACACGGGGATATGTTGAAACACACGGAAGATAGGAATACAGAGACACATGGGGACACGAAAATATTGGCACACATGGAGATACAAAGGCAGAGACGCAGGGACACATGGGATAAATGTGGCAAACAGGGACAGAAGGACACAGGGACCCAGGGATACTTACAAACAAGCACACTGAGACAAGAAGACATGGGTTCTGTGTTTCTTGTTTTTGAAGAGATACAGATGCTCTTGGTCGTGCATTTGATTGTGATGCCTTTTCCTGCCTCCCAATCTCCCATGTCCCCCTGTACCTGTGTTGTCCTTATACAATTTCCCTTGTGTTGTCCCCATCTTGTCTGTCTTCTTATCCCCATGTCAGGCATCCCGTGTCATCGCCAAGTCCCCATGTGCCCATGTCCTTATGCCATCTCAGTGTATACTTGTCTGAGTGTCCCCATGTCCACGTGTCATTTTCATAACCTCGTCTCTTCATAGCATATCCCTATGTCATGGCCACGGCCAGAGCCGTCCCTAGCCTCGCGCTGCGACGTCACAATGTCAAATTTAATACTTCCGGTTTAGCTTGATTTGCCCTGGGCTCCGCACCCCCCTATGGATAGCCCTGGCCATGTCACTGTGTCACAGTGTCTCTGTGTTTTCCCTCTGTGCGCTCATGTCTCATTGTATCCATGTCCCTGTATGCCCGTGTTGTCCGCGTACCGTGTCCATGTCCGGGCGTGACCCCGTGGGGGCCGTGTTCTGCAGGAAGACGAGGGGGATTCCCCTCTGCTCACACAGTGACACAGAATGGCTTCCCTTGAGCGCAGCGCGGGCAGAGAGAAACCCGTGGTTCGCCACCACACCTACTCGGACACTGAGACACGGGCACAACACGACGACAACATCACACAGGGACAATACAGCGACAGGGGGACACTGAGAAACCAGTGGCACACCAGCGCATCTAAACAAACACTGAGATGAGGTGACACGTGGACACTGAGATACGGGGAGTGTGTACCCATTTGTCCCCCTTAGTTACAACATCTGCATGTGTCTTCCTGTA